AATGTGGGGCGTCAGGGTGCAGGTCACCTGCCCGTTGACACCGGAGTCGAGGTCGGACACACTGATCAGGGCAATGACAGTGCCCAGTGGAGCGTCTTCTCTGATTGGAAGTGACAGGTACTTGAATTCCATTACTGGGACATTATCGTTGGTGTCTTCAACTTCCACCATAACTGTACAATGGCCAGAGAGTGGGAGCTGTCCCTTATCAATGCCCTCTACAAGAATTTCATAGGATTTGCTTTCTTCAAAGTCGATATATCCCTTTACCATAATTTCTCCAGTAACTGGATCTACGTGGAACCTGGATTTCACATTTGGTGAAATATCAGTTGAGAATGAATAAACAACGTCCCCATTCAAACCTTCGTCTAAGTCTGAGGCGTTAAGTTTAATTACCAACGTTCCATTAGGAACATTTTCTGGTAATTTCACCGCATAGAGTGTTCTGTCGAAAGCTGGGGCGTTGTCATTGGCGTCCAGCACTTTGACGAGTAACTGAACGGTGCCAGTCAGCTCCGGTTTGCCTCTATCAGTGGCCGTGAGCACTAAAAAAATCTCCGGAGCTTCTTCCCTGTCTAAAGATTTCCTTAATACTAACCCAAGACGTTTTACCCGCTCGTCGTCGGACGGTTTTTCCAAGGAGAAATACTCACTGGGGCTCAGTCTGTAAGTCAACAGAGCGTTCTCCCCGATATCTGCATCGGAGGCGCCCTCTAGTGGAAACCGAGAGTCAAGCGGCCTGGATTCCGCCATAAACAGAGTCTTTTGTGTTCCGGGGAACAGAGGCGGATTGTCGTTAACGTCCTTCACCTCCACCTCCACATGGAAGACCTGCAGCGGCCGGTCCACGATCACCTCCAGGTGGATGCTGCACTCCACGCTCCGCCCACACAGCTCCTCGCGGTCGATCCGAGAATTCACAAACAAAATGCCATTCTGCAGATTTACCTCCAGAAGGTCCCCGCGGCCTTTGGACGCCACCCGGAACAGGCGCGGCACCAGCTCCGCCAGCTCCAGCCCCAGGTCCTGCGCGATGCGGCCCACGAAGGTGCCGTGTTTGGCTTCCTCAGGGACGGAGTAGTGGACCTGGCCGCTCCCGACCTTCCAGGCTGCGAGAAGCAGAAGCGAGAGCAGCAGACGCCGGGATTCCTTCCCGCTTCCCCAGGAAAACTCCATCTCAAGTGCGCAGTGTTTTGTTCTCATTAAGGGATCTTGTGTCAAAATCAAGAGAAATCTGACCATTCAGTCCAATGCCGCTGCAGCCTCCATTTTTCAGCGTCGGATGGTGGATGCTGCTTCTTTACAATAATAATAGAAGGGAGTTTTTCTTTTCCTCTGTCGGGTCAATTTTATGGTAAGAGCGACATCATGTGGCTCCAAACCGTAAGTATTGACTCTGGAAATCCATACTATGCTATAAACTGCTAAGTCTTAATTATTCTTTCAGCCATTCTGCACACTTTCACCGCCTTTGGAGAATAGAATCACATTTTGTACCACTGATTTATTGAGTGCGATCCTTAGTTTCACTACAGGGGCAGCTTTCATTTCAGTGGAAATCCTTTTTTCATACAGGTTTTAAGTATTTACAGAGATGCAACTGTAGGTAACATACACTTTGTAGAGACACACTTGTAAAGTGTTGGTTAGGAAAATTCATGACAGATTTTTTTGTGTTCCTGAGAATGCGGGAAGGTTATTAATGATGACAGGCTCTTCATCTTTGGATTTCATATTCCTGGTGTTGAAGACTTCAGAGAACCCATCTCTAGAGAACCTCTGATTCTAAGAATAAGCCATTGAAAGGGTACTTTGCAAATGTTCAAAAAAGGAAGCAAAGACCATCAGCATTTAATTGAAAATCTTCCTTAAATCATCTAAGGGCTGAAGGTGCAAGGAAGCTTTAACAGGAAGCGGGATGTTGTGGGATATAACTTGTGTGGAAAGGTATTCCAAATAATTTTATTCACTGAAACACATTCACCTCCCGCAAGCAAGACTGGTATTCTCATTTTGTCTCTTATGGTTTAGAAATATTTGCCTGTTCTCCAGTGTCTAATATACCTAAACTTCTATTTTCTCCAATGGTGCTCACATATTTTTTAGTCAAAGTGGACAATTTCCTGCTTCCAATAACATTTTTCTCACTTCATCACCTGCCTAAGTAATAGCCATCATTCCCAAACTCTTTGTGACGCAATTTCCCCCATTTTATAACCATTTAAAACTTCCTTGACCAAAGAAGACTTTCATGATTAATCCAGTTTGGCAGGCAAAAAAACTTTCCTTTTTTTTTTAATAATTTTATTTATTTATTTTTCCCCCAAAGCCCCAGTAGATAGTTGTACGTTATAGCTGCACATCCTTCTAGTTGCTGTATGTGGGACACGGCCTCAGCATGGCTGGAGAAGCGGTGCGTCGGTGCGCGCCCGGGATCCGAACCCGGCTGCCAGTAGCAGAGCGCGCGCACCTAACCGCTAAGCCACGGGGCCGGCCCTTTACTTTCTTTTATATATGATGGCACCCAGATTTAATCACTTAGGCCATTTATTACATTGATTTCACTTTTGTAAGCATTTGGGTATGACTTCTTTTTTGAAATATAAACTTTTAAAGAGAATAGCTGTGTCTTAGTAGTTTAATAGCTCAGAATACTTACCTAATATTTGCTGAATATTTATCTAATAGAACAGTTTGGTTCTCTTCAATTGTCTAATAAAATGCATTAAATTAAGGTGGTCGCATAGCTAGTCAGGAAAATGTGATGTCTCAGCAGCCTCTATAATTTTCCAAAGATACAAAAATATTTTTCCTTAGACATTGCCCTAATTGAGATCTATTTCAGTTTCCATATTGAAAACCTGCGCTTGGCTTAGTTCTCATTCCAGTTTTTGGCAGTCGTGATCTTTGAGATAGCCTTAGTTTTAATGGTCAATGAAGAATTCCCAATAAATAGAGCACAATATATTTTTGTGACATAAAGAAATTTAATACAGAAAGACATGATGGTAGCTGTTTTCAAACTTTCTTTGCCTCTTATGTTCATAAACCTTTCTCCCCCACGGTTGTCTAGGACAAAAAAAAAATCAATCCAGTGAAAATAGCTTTAGGCTGCCATTCTATGAAGAGCCACAGTCACCAAAAAAAATATTTTTTCTGAATTAAAATACAAATCAGAGTAGTTTCACTGTTTGAGGACCTGAACTATAGATTTCTACAAAATGATCATAGGTGTCAAACACACTGGAAGAAACTGAGAAGGACTCCCTGTCTATTTATTTTTCAAAATAATTAAATGCATAGATGAGGAATGCAACAGAACAGAAAAGATGTTTATTTGGGAACTATTCAGTATTCATCTGGTATAGCAGCAAGACATCTCTAAAGAAAAAAACTCAAAATCTTTAAAAAGTCTTATTAGCTGAGAATCTTGCTAGTCGAGAATTTGAAGAGGAGAACTGGATTTAAAGACTGAAGTCTCATATCCTGGAAGACAAAAACTTTGTATGACCCTATTATTTACAATAGGATGAAAATGAGGCCTAATAAAATAGTGAACTGAGTTTGGACATGCTGTGGCTCATACTTGATGGACAGTGGGCAGCAAAGGAAAGTGCCAGAAAACGGAAATGAAAGTGGAAAAAGAGAGGATTATCTCTCTATTTTTTATGTTAGATGCCCCCACAATGTCACTGAGTATTAACCAGGTTTCAGCAAGGAAGCTTGAACAAGGAAGTAGGAGGTTGTAGTATATGACTTGTGTGGAAAAGTATTCCATATAATTTATACACTGGAACCCATTTACCTCCCAGGAGCAAGGTTCGTATTCTCATTTTGCCTCATATGCTTTAGAAATAGCTGCCTGTTCCCCAGTTTCTAATATGCCTAATCTTTGGTTTCCAGTGGCAAGGAAATTTGAAGGAGAGTCCAACTATTTGCTAGGGGAAATGACCAAATACTAAATAGAGGAATGACTGAAAAATAATTTCACTTGAATTTTATTTGGTGCCAGTTATTTAAAGCTTTGTACTTTCTACACGACAAATTAATAAAGAGGTTGGTATTCAGAGGAAGGTCACCAGTAATGACGTTGACTTACTGAACTTCTCGACATTAGCATCCTTAATACTGTATGCAAAAGAGATTAATGATTAATAAGTTTTGCTAGTAGAATAATTTTTAAATTAGATATACAGTATAATTCTCAACAAATTGTTCAGAAGGAAAATAATAATTCTTAACAAGATTCATAATATTCTTTCAAAAATATATTTTCTAAATGATGATATAAAGGAAGTATTAAAATTTTACTTTCTATTGATTTTTTAATGCTTACTAATAAAAGTAGTGAGAAACTGAAGAGGAACAAAGGTACAATTCTAAAAGCAATAAAATTGTTATTCTGTTTTTGTTGTTGTTGTTGATTTTTACCCAACTGGGAAACTAGTAACAATACACAGTATCACCAAATATGAGCACAAGGACTAGAACAAATCATGTTCAAGCAGAAAGGAGGAACTGAGACTCCAGATAAATGAATAAGGGAGTAAAAGAGGCTCCATAAGAGATAACAGGTTTACGAAGTGAACATTTGAAACTGAAGATATAAAAGCATAATAAAAAGGGAAGGGAGAGCATTTAAGGCGAACTCATAAAATTTACCAGTGACATCTGGACCAACATCTGGTAGGAATTCCAAATGAAAAGTGGCAAAAGCTATTGAAGTATGTGCAGGGATTAGTACACTTAGTAGTTGTTAGGAGTCAAATATTGTAAAAAATGCAATTCACCCAGAAAAATATATTTAGTTTCTATTCAGACTTTTAGCAATGAAATAATCCTGCTACTGCATCTACTAACACAAAAACGAAACCACAGTGTGGTTCTCGCTACTTATTGCTGATCCGGTTCAAAAACATTAGTCACAAGAAATTCAAACATTTTAACCACAAAACCAGTACCTGGAAAACTCTAATTACCAAAAACATAATTAACTGTTAAAATGTCTCCAAAGGAGTAGAAACATTGATGAACAAAAAATAAAGACATTTTCGAAAGGATGAAAAAAATATTACTCACTTTGGCAGAAAAATCAACACCCACATCCAGCTGCTCTTCCATACCTCCGCTAACGGGACCCGGAGGAAGGCTGGGGCTGAAGGCTATGAGGTCGGTCTTGGGCGGCCCCTCCCCAGAGCACACCCTCTGCCTCCTCCGCTGTGAATACGACCAGCTCTCCACTGCGCTGGAGCACACCAGCGTGGGCTTCCCCGGCCCGCACGCGCCCTCGATGGGCGGCGCCGAGCACCGCAGCGCCGTGTACAGCAGCAGCGTGAGCACCAACAGGCTGGACACAGCGCAGATGGCGATGATCAGGTACACGTTGACATCCACCAGGGCCGTCCCCGCGGCGCCTGCCAACGCCCGGGACGAAGCCTTCGGCGCCTGGCCGCTCTCCACCAGCGACAGGAGCACGGTGGCCGTGGCCGTCAGCGCCGGCTCGCCATGGTCCTTCACCAGCACCAGCAGGCGCTGGCGCGGCAAGTCCGCCTCATCGAGGGCGCGAGTCGTGCTGATCTCGCCCGTGTACAGCCCCACGCGGAACGGGCTGCGCACGCCACCCGCCGCCGGCCGCAGCTCGTAAGACAGCCACGCGTTGTAGCCAGAGTCCGCGTCCACCGCGCGCACCTTCGCCACCACGTGGCCCGCGCCCACAGACCGCGCCACCAGCTCGCTCACCGCGCCGCCCCCGCCGCCCGCCCCAGGCGGCAGCAGCGCGGGCGCGTTGTCGTTCTCGTCCAGCACGAACACCTGCAGCGTCACGTTGCTGCCCAGAGGCGGCACGCCCGCGTCGCGCGCGCTCACCTGGAACTGCAGCAGCTCCAGCTCCTCGTGGTCCAGCGGCTGCAGCGCGTACACCTTGCCGCTCTCCGCGTGCACCGACACGTAGCTAGACAGCGCGCGCTCGCCCACCCGCCGCTCCACCAGCGAGTAGGACACCCGCGCGTTCTCCTGCGCGTCCGCGTCCCGCGCAGACACCGTGAAGATGTGACAGCCGGGCGGGTTGTTCTCCTTCACGAACACCGTGTACTCGGGCTGCGCGAACGCCGGCGCGTTGTCGTTCACGTCGGCCACCTCCACGGACACGCTGGCGGTGGCCGACAGAGAAGGCGAGCCCCCGTCCCGCGCTGTCACCACCACCTCGTAGTTTGCCACACTCTCGCGGTCCAAGGCACTGTCCAGCACCAGCGAATAGTAATTCTTGAAGGTGGACACCAGCTTGAAGGGAACATGGAGAGTCAGGGTGCAAGTCACATGCCCATTAGCACCAGAGTCGCGGTCGGACACGCTGATCAAAGCGATGACGGTGCCGAGTGGAGCGTCTTCTAATACAGGTAACGATAGTGATTTGATAACCAACTCAGGTACGTTATCATTGGTGTCCAAAATTTCCACTAGAACCGTGCAATGATCTGCCATTGGGGGATTTCCTTTATCTGTCGCTTCTACCTGGATTTCATATAACTTAGTTTCCTCGAAATCTATGTTACCCTTTACACTGATGTATCCATTAACCGGGTCTAAGTGGAATTTCGACAGAGTATCTGCTGACATGTCTGTATTGAAAGAATATACAATGTCCTTATTTATTCCTTCATCCAAATCAGAGGCGTTAACAATCACTACTAGGGTACCGTTTGGTGCATTTTCGAATAATTTGACTTTGTAGACCGTCCTCTCAAACTCGGGGGCATTGTCGTTTACATCTAGAATGGTGATCTTTAGTTGAGTAGCGCCAGCGAGCTGTGGTTTCCCACCATCGACTGCCGTTATTATTAAGTGATGCTCAGGAGTGTCCTCTCGATCTAAAAGCTTTTTCAACACGAGTCCAAGGGATTTAATTTCCTCATCATTTCTTTTAACATCCAAGGTAAAATATTCATTGGAGTTAAGACTGTAGGTCAACAGTGAATTTACTCCGATATCTGCATCTGCTGCGCCCTCTAGCGGAATCCGAGAGCCAGGCGGCCGGGATTCGTAAAGAAACAGATTTTTTACTGCCATTGGAAAAACCGGCTGGTTGTCGTTAATGTCCCTCACCTCCACCTCCACATGGAAAACCTGCAGCGGCCTGTCCACGATCACCTCCAGGTGGATGCTGCACTCCAGGCTCCGCCCGCACAGCTCCTCGCGGTCGATCCGAGAATTCACAAACAAAATGCCATTCTGCAGATTTACCTCCAGAAGGTCCCCGCGGTTTTTGGACGCCACCCGGAACAGGCGCGGCACCAGCTCCGCCAGCTTCAGCCCCAGGTCCTGGGCGATGCGGCCCACGAAGGTGCCGTGTTTGGCCTCCTCGGGGACCGAGTAGTGGACCTGGCCCCTCCCGGCCTCCCATAACGCGAGGAGCAGAAGCAAAAACAGAAGACGCCGAAATCCTGGCCCTTCTCTCCAGGAAAACACCATTGCAAGCCTTTTCCAAATATTGGGTCCCTCTTGCATCGATCCAAAATTAAAAAAAATAATTTGAGTTCCTTATTCTTCATTTCTTAAATAACCTTACCATGGCCGTATTTCATAGATGGTGAGGAAATGCAGGATCTGAGTACGTAATGCTTACTGTATTTCTTTTATCGTCCAAGACCTTGTGGTGGACAGCGACATCATGTGGCTAAGTATTAAACACCATGTGTAAGTATGAAATAAATGTGTTTTTCTTTTCCTTTTCCTTCGTTTGAACTTTCCCAAAATTTCTACTTTCAATGTAATTTCCTTCAAAGACTCCTCAAAGTCTTTATACTTTATCAAAATATATCCTTAAAACTTTTATACTAATTCATCACTTTTAATTATGCCAATCCATGACATACAGTAAAATATAGTAAAATAGTGATTACTGTTATAACAGTAGTGGACACCTATTGGAAATATTTTCCATGTGACAAGCACTGTTCTATTGTTTTAATGGGATTATCCCATTAAATTTTCACAACCCTCTGAGGTAGGTATTAATATGATTCACTTTTTACAACGAAGTGGAAACACAGAGGTTAAGTAACTTAAAAATGATATTAATTGGTGGTGTTTGGGTGGGATTTCAATCTGATTCAAGACGATAATTTTAACCACTGGCCTCAGAGTCTATATTTTACACAAAAATCAGGCCCTTGATATTTGTGACCATCAAAACATCAAGACATTGAAAATATGTGTATATACATATCCATATATATACAATTTACTTCTATATTATTATGGCAATTGTTAATTTACAAAATATGTTCATTTATGTTTATTAATTCATAGAATGTATATAAACCACTCTCATATTCTTTATCCAAGGACTATATCCTTGCTAGCTATCTTAACTGTTATCTATATAAAGATGCCAGAAGTCAGTGTTTTACAATGCAGTTACTTTGTAAATTTGTTTTTTGCTGCATGACGACACTGTGTGATTTGGATATTTATTACATTCATATCACACCAAATAAGAGTATATTAGTTTTTAAAATTTCCACATCATTTATATGTTTCAACTTACCTGTATGTCCTAAAATGTTCACAATATGAAATAATTGTGTTTTTAATGATCTGCACTCTGGATGAATTTCGGGATTCCAGTTTCTTAAAAAGTTGCTACTTGAAATAACTGGTGATTTCAGCAATGAGCAAAGAGAGAAAAGTAACTATGGAACATGATTCACTACTTGACATATATAAGACGAGGCAATGAAATATTCTAAAGATCTCTGTGAATTCAATGAGAGGCATGAGTTCTCTGAGCATTTGGAAGTTGAGCAGAGAAAATTCATGGAAAGAGGTTGAATTTAGAGAAGTAAGAGACTGTCCAAATTTTTGCTTTTGGTCAGACCCTTTTTATGAAATCAAGCACATGATTTAAGTATTAGGAGAAAAGTTTTCCTATCAATTTTTTCCATGTACTTATTGAATGCAAGCCAGGACTGTAACTTACTCATATTTTATCATTCACATTTAGAATAGAATAAATTGTCAATTAATGTTTTAAGGAATAAATAAGTGAATATTTTAAATTAACTTTCTCAAGTAATATAAGAGGTAAGTTACATTAATGATATTTGTTAATATCAAACTTACATAATTTCTAATTGATTCTATTGTACTAGTTCATGAAGAAGTAAGGAGACATTTAAGAACTGTTTTGGAAAAGCATGGATCTAGGAAACAATTGAAGATATCAATATGCCAGTTAGTGCTTTGATGAATCTTGAGAGGTAGTAGCTAGTTTTAAAATGAGAGACAAAATTAAAATTTTAAAACATCATAGACTTCATATTAATGAGATGCCTTTGACAACTTATGTAATACTATGCACTTCTTGACATTTAAGAGTATAATGACTGAAAAGGGAATGCCACAGGGAATTTATAACAGCGTAGACTCCATAATGATTATTAGGAGATAAAGGTAACACTAAAGGAACTATGAGTTTAGAAGATTGAGACAATGTGTGGATAAGGTATCAGTGAATAATATCTACTCTGTCTTAGACATCTTCTTAGGCAACTTAATCAAGAAAAATGTAAATAAGGAATAAGAAACCAATAAGAGCTTATTCAGCAATAGATTGTGACTCCTGGAGATCGGGGCACGCCTGGATATAGTTTAAGAAGCTTATCATTTACCTGTAGTAGAAACATAGTGGCCAGACTTCCAGTAGGACCGATTCCACCTGACCAATCACACTTTCTGCACACAAGTCTCAAGAAAGTGATGATAGCTATGATACTCTAGGTGGAATAACTCCTCCCAAGAAAGACCTTCTTCCTCATTTGTTCAAGCCATTTGTTTCTCTCTGTAAAGCCTCAGATGAACTTTTCTGATTCCCAAGAAATATATACTCTCTGCATTTTGAGGCTTATCAACCTCGAGGAGCTAATAAGCTTCCTGTAGGAAAGATTATCCTTAAATGGAATTCGAGATTTCCCCACCAAATTCCTCAATTCCTTTAAAAGCAGATCCCAGATGGAAATTGGTACTCCTGCCTATCTGTGAATGGCTAAGGCTAAGACGACTTAGTGGAAGTTATTTCTAGGATTCATCAATATCCACATATATTTGGGAAAGAAAACAGCAAATAACTAAGAACCAAATAGTAGAAGACAGTTTTAGACAGTTAATTCATCCAGAGACATCTTCCTTTGGCTGAAAAAAATTCTTTAATTTCCTTTCCAAGTATAACATTTACTTGTCAAGTTTAATGTTTTAAGCATCCAACACAGGAGTTTCCATGAAAATGTAGTCATCTAAAACTAGGCCTTACCTTTTGGAAAAACTCCAACTTCATTAGGAATACAGAGGCTGGCAGGTGAAATTGAGTGAGCCCGCAGTCATGGAAAATGTTATCCCAGGCAGAGAGTGTGGTGCCAGAGGAGGGTGGTCAATCTCTGCACAATGGGAGGCCTGCATACATTAGCCCACAGATAGGGATACTGGAAGGATGACTGAGCAACCCACTAACATAGAGACTGGGTTAGAGTACACTCCACTTGTATGAAGAAAAAGTCCTACCACCTGGCGGCCCACAATGTGATCTTTTAAATGTTAAGATTTTTTTATTAAACAAAATTGAGACTGGGCTCTTTTCTCAATGAACTCTCTATTGTGCCTTAAAACCAATGATTTTGCAAGACTGAAATCTTTATCCCAAATAACAGGTTATTTTACTACTGAAAGACATACCTAAGATTAGCAATTATTCCTAACTGGTGTCATGTGTTGTAATGACCTATGATAGACACTTTTGGAAGTTCCGGCATTAAAAGATGCATTCAGGCCACTTTCAAATACAAGGCAAAGAAAAACTAACTTAGTTTATTGCATAAACAGATAAAGATAAATGAATTCTTGATCAAATAAACAATTTAGGAAATGTCCAGATATATAACACAGTCTTATTCCAAACTATTCTGACAGAATGGAGGATGGTTAAATTGGAAATATGTATTATATAGTCATACTCTTTAAATTTTTTCCAATCGTGATTTTTAAAAATTTGATAAAAAATATTTGAGGGTAATGTTAAGTTTTCAGATTTTGCTTAAGTGTTTTTCAATCCTTCAAGGTCCTATTGTTCATGGAGAGATTTAATTATGGAAAAGCTAAAATGTAAACATAAGAAAACCTTTTAAGTAAATTGTTCTCAATGCAAGAAACTGATCTCTAATTCATACCATATATTGCACAATAGGACAATGATATAAAATAAAGGCAGAACTATGAATCAAAATAATTAATAGAATCTTAAAGAATAAAGGAAACAGAATAATTCCAGAATTGACAGGAAAAAATTAAAACACTCACCTTTCCTAAGTGTTCTGATTCTGAGGATTGTGGTCTTTCTTCTACGGAGCCTGGACCTTGAGGAAGGCTGGGACTGAAGGCCATGAGATCCGTCTTGGGCGGTCCCTCCCCAGAACACACCTTCTGCCGCCTCTGCTGCGAGTAAGACCAGCTCCCCACCGCGCTGGAACACACCAGCATGGGCTTCCCCGGCCCGCACGCGCCCTCGATGGGCGGCGCCGAGCACCGCAGCGCCGTGTACAGCAGCAGCGTGAGCACCAACAGACTGGACACAGCGCAGATGGCGATGATCAGGTACACATTGACATCCACCAGCACCGCCTCCGCTCCAGCAGAGCCTACAGACGCCCGCGAAGAGGCCTTCGGCGCCTGGCCGCTCTCCACCAGCGACAGCAGCACAGTGGCCGTGGCCGTCAGCGCGGGCTCGCCGTGGTCCTTCACCAGCACCAGCAGGCGCTGG